AGCACCCCGGGCCGTGAGGCTCGCGGAAGGGCGAGGGTCGGGACCCTCGGTCCTCCGTCCCGGTTCCTTCTCCCGTCTCCCCTGCGCCGTCCCGGAACAGTCTTCCCCACGGAGCCCGTGTCGCTCGCTCGGCTGTCACACTCTGGTGCAGCCCTCCCGTCCTCCCCATGGCGACGCTGCCCCAAAGAGTGGGCGCCAAGCGCGAGAACAGGCTTTAGGGGGCCTGTTTATCTCAGTGGTGCCGCTGCCTGCCTCACAAGTGCAAGGTCCGGAGTTCGATCCCCGGAACAAACAAAACAAACAAACGAACGGGCTTTAGGGTGTGGAATGCTAGGCATTCGGAAATATGACACATTTCTTCGTCTCTGTTTCTTATTGTCACTGCCCTATTTCGAGCCCTCATCACTTTTTTCCACCTAAATTATTTCAGAAACCGCTAAAAGAATCTTCAACCTCTGCAGGCCCTTTTTTTTAAAGGTACTGGGATGAAACCAGGGGTACTGTACCACTCAACCCCATCTCTGGCCCATATATATATATATATATATATACACAAAACAGTTCTTTTTTTTTTTTTTTTTTTTTTTTTTTTGGTACGGGGGAATCGAACTCTGGTCCTTGCGCTTGCAAGGCAGGTGGCAGAACCACTGAGCTACATCCCCCGCTCTTATATTTTATTTTGATGAAGGATCTCGGTTATTGTCCAGACTGGCCTCAGACTTGAGATCCTTCTGTCAGCATTCCCGACAATGGGGTTATGGGCCTGCACCACCGCACCTCTCAACTCTTTATTCACACCTGCCGCATCCGCTCTAATTCAGCTTCCTGTCTGACACTGAGATCTTTGCTGAGGTCAACTTGAGCTGTTCACTGCTTCAAAGTTCTCTTTAGGAGTCACCACCAGGGCCGGGGACCTAGCTCAGTGGTTCCACTGCCTGCTTCACAAGCACAAGGACCGGAATTTGATCCCCAAGACCAAAAATAAAGGAGTCAGCACTGGCACAGAAAAGACCAAAATCAAGACGTACAGGACTGTCGCCAGTGCCAGGGGTTGATGTGTGTACCACTGGTACTCGCATAAGTACAAGGTTCTGCCCCATGCCCTGGGGCTCAGCCTGGGCTGAGAGATCTGAACTGGCTCCACCCTGCTCCACTGTCCATTTTCTCAGTGGTTAAAAAGGGACCTGGGTACATGGTGGTCCTTACCGAGACCCTGAGTCATAACTAATAATAGAATCTCCAAAAAATCCCAATGTAACTCTCTCACTCAAAGTCCTTCAAAATTCTCCCTAGGATCATATTTAAACTCCGAGCCAGTGGTGTGGTGCACACCTATAATCCCAGCACTTGGGAGGCTGAGGCAGGAAGATTGCCATGAGTTCGAGGCCAGCCTGGGCTGCATAGACTCTACGTGTTTAAGCCCCTTACAATGACAAACTAAGAAGTGGCAAAATTTAGACCTAGTTTCAATAAGCTGTCTGCTGACAACCCTCCTGTGGAAAACTAAAGCTACATCAAGCTGAGGTGCCTTATTCTGCCTTATTTCCAGGCCTTCACAAATACTGTATTTTCTCTATTTGGCATTGTCTAATTCACTCTCCAACAACTGTCACAGATCTCATCTCTTCTAGGAAATCTGGAAACAGTTCTAGTTTAGAGCTTTCTTTCTCTAATTTTTTTTTTCTTTTTCTCATACTGGGGATCAAACTAGGGACCTTGTGCTTGCCAGGCAGGTGCTGAGCCAGTGAGCTACATCCCAGATCCTTTTTATTTTATTTTTGGTACCAGGGATCAAACTCAGGATCTTGTGCTTGCAGATGGGCTGTGGCACCAGGCACCACTGATCTAAATCCCTGTTCCAAAACACAATTTTTTTTTTTTTTTTTGTACTGGGGATTGAACTCAGGTCTATCTTCTTGAGACAGGGTCTCCCTATGTAGCCCAGGCTGAACTTGAACTCAGCAATTCTCCTGGCTCAGCCTCCTGAAAGCTGGGGTTACAGGTGTGCACAGGTCTAGAGCTTTCTTACAGCAACCAGCCCACCATTATTTATAACAGCTCTTGTCACAGGGCTGCCACTGTTTACAAGCCTATCTCTCTTCCATTACGCCTTGAGAACGGGAAGCTTGTGTCTGGTACAGTGCAGGAGGAACATTGGACACTGAGTGGGTGCTTGTTGACTGCATGGATGAGTGTTCGTGGAGGAGAAAGTGAAATCTGCACTCCTCTGTAAGTCTCTCAGTTGCCTTCCTTTCCTACAGCAGGGAAGTTCTCTAAACTATTTCTGGTTAACTGATCTAATCTCCATTTGAGTAACTTCCGTCAACCTCTACTAACATTCCCGGACTTTAACACAGTTATTTTCAGGTTATTTTGTTTCCTTAACAGTTATCCTTTCTTCATCTCTTCCTAGGATTTATGCAGGTACTGGGAATGAACCCAGGGCTTTCACACGGGGGCACATCCCTAGCCCCTCCTATTTTTTTTGTACCCGAGATCAAATTCAGGACCTTGTGCTTGCAAGGCAGACAGGGAGCCACTGAGCTAAATCCCGGGCTCCATCCTGTTCTTTAAGATTCAGTAAACGTATAGTGTTCCTCATGGACGCACATAGCTCCAGTTCTCAAGTGAGTCCCCTCCTCTGGCATTCAGTTCTCCCCGTCCCCCCAGACACACATCCACCAAACTTTAATTCAGAACGAAAGGTAGGAGCCTCTCCTTAGTCTGATAAGTTGGGTGCACTGTTTTAAGACATGGGTATTGGGCCGGAGATTTAGCTCAGTGGTTCCAGCGCTTGCCTTGCAAGCACAAGGACCTGAGTTCGATACCCGGTACCAAAAAAAGAAAAACGACATGGGTATTTTCAGGCTACCCTGGAGAATCAGATCTCACCACCACGCCCCACCAGAGTCACGTCTGACAAACGACACTTTGTGAACACTTTGTGACTCTTCCTTTCTCTTAAATCTCCAAAGCTGAGCAAGCCACAGAGGTCGGCAGGAAAAATACAA